CTCATGGAGTTAAGATTCACCACTGCATAAGGACACTAGAATTAACAACCTGGGTTGTTTCCAGGTTCTGGCTATTATGAATAAAGCTGTTACAAACACTGTTGAGCATCATTTTGTACTTGAGCATCTTATTGATATATGCCTAGGAGTGGTATAGCTGGATCTTGAGGAAGCACTATTCCTAATTGTCTGAGAAAGTGCCAAATATGAAATTTGCAGGCACACGGTGGGACCTAGAAAAGATCATCCTGAGTGAGGTATCCCAAAAGCAGAAAGACACACATGGTATATACTCACTTATAGAGACCTATAAGATAGGATAAACATACTGAAATCTATACACCTAAAGAAGAAAAACAAGAAAGAGGACTCAGGTAAGATGATCAATCCTCACTTAGAAAGACAAATGGGATGGACATTGGATGTAGTAGAAAACAAGTAACAGGACAGGAGCCTACCCCAGTGGGCCTCTGAAAGACTCTACCTAGCAGTGTATCAAAGAAGATACTAAGAATCATAACCAAACCTTCGGCAGATTGCAGGGACTCATAAGAAAAAAGGGGGGCGGGGTAATATGACATGGAGAGTACAGGAGCTCCACAAGGACCAAATATATCTGGGCACAGGAGTCTTTTATGACAATGTTTCTCCAACCAAGGCCCATGTATGGATGTAACCTAGCACCTCTGCTTGGATGTAGCCCATGGTAGCTCAGTATCCAAGTGGTTACCTTAGTAAGGGGAACAGGGCCTATTTCTGACATGAACTCAATGGCAGGCTCTTTGACCCCCCCCAAGGGAGGAGCAGCCTGCTAGGTCAGAGAGGAGGGCTTTGCAGCCAGTCCTGAAGAGACCTGATAAACCAGGGTCAGATGAAAGGGGAGGAGGTCCTCCCCTATCAGTGGGCAGGAAGGAGATGAGGGAGGGAGGATGGAATTGGCAAGAAATGAGGGAGTGGGATACAGTTGGGATACAAAGTTAATAAACTGTAACATTTATTTTAAAATACTTTTATTAAAAAATTAAAAAAAATTAGTGGAATGGTTGTGGTTTGAACAAGAGAGAAGTATGCAAGAACATTATAAATATCTAAAACATTAGCATCACAGAGACCCTCTTGGAAATATTCTCAGGGAATAGTTATTTAGTATAAGAAAACAGAGAACATGAGTTTCTTTTTTTTCTTTCTTTTTTTTATTTTATTTTTTCTTATCAGTTACATTTTATAAACTCTGTATCCCAGCCGTATCCCCATCCCTCATTCCCTCCCAATCCCACCCTCCCTCCCTCATCTCCTCCGTGTCCCTTCCAAGTCCACTGATAGGGGGCCTCCTCCCCATTCGTCCGATCCTGTTTTATCAGGTATCTTCAGGACTGGCTGCAAAGCCCTCCTCTGTGGCCTAACAGGTCTGCTCCTCTCTTGGGGGCTGGGGAGGTCAAAGAGCCAGTCATTGAGTTCCTGTTAGAAATAGTCCTTGTTCCCCTCACTATGGGAAACCAATTGGTTACTGAGCTACCATAGGCTACATCTGAGCAGAGGTTCTAGGTTATATCCATACATGGTCCTTGGTTGAATGTCAGTCTCAGAAAAGACCCTGTGCCAGGATATATTTGGTCCTTGTGGAGCTCCTATCCTTTGATCAATCCTCATTTAGAAAGACAGATGGGATGTGCATTGAATGTATGACAGGAGTCTACTGAGCACATCTGAAAGACTCTAACTAGCAATGTTTTCAAAGCAGATACAAAGACTCATGACCAAACCTTCCGCAGAGTACAGGGATTCATATGAACATGAGTTTCTTATTCGAGCACTGGACAGTAACATTTTTATATTACAATAAGAAATAAGTAGGGGAGCAGAGTACAAGTGTCTCTAATATTTATAGTCCAAAGTATCATCTATGTATAGAAAACACAAGCAAAAGTGACTAAAGCTTTGCACAGTGGTTTATTTGCAAAAAACCAAACCAAAACCAAAACAAAAACAAAAAAACTAATAAACTTCTACTCTAGAGAATAGTACTCCCATTTACAACGGTTGAAAGTTTTGTTCATAGATCTCTGGAGTTGCTTCCATTAGAAGAACAGAGGTTGTATACCAATGTGATGTGGACATGCTAGATAGCTTATGTGAAACAGTCTCAGAACATAAAACATGGTCAGAAACATCACTCAGTTGGCATGCCAGAGTCCTTTCCTTAATCCTCAAATTATCATACAGTGGGCAGGGGAGCACACCTGTCTTGCCAGCACTCAGCAAGTTGATAGAGGAGCAGTAGAAGTTCAAGATCACAGCTACACAAAGTTCATTTCCAGCCTACATTACAAAAACCCATTTCGTAAAGCCAAGACAGATAAGAAAACAGCAACACAAGGAGGAATTAGGGAGGAGTGGAAGGAAAAAAATAAAGTCATTTTGTCTCCACTGTTTCTCCTCTATTCTTTGTTTCCTGCTGTCAGCTGTTTTTATGTCCTATTAGCTTCTTCAAAGTAAGATGAGAGCAGGAGTATTTTTTAGTCATCAGCTCTAAACCTGACAGTTCATAAGAAGACACATTCACAAATGTTATCAGACTGGTGTGCTGTGAAGAAGGCTGCACCCTCGGCACTTATGGTTATTATTGTACTTGAAAGGCCTAGTGGTGGGTGTTACAGGTGAATTAAATGATCACAGTGATAATAACAGCCATTTTTTTGTTTTCTTTATTTTATTTTTTATTATTTACACTTTAATCACTTTGGATCCCCCCATAAGCTCCTCCCTCCTCCCCTCCTTATCCCACCCTCCCTCTCCCTTCTTCATGCATGCCCCTTCCCAAGTAGACTGATAGGGGAGGTCCCCCTCTCCTTCCTTCTGATCTTAGTGTATCAAATCTCATCAGGAGTGGCTGCATTGTCATCTTCTGTGGCCTGGTAAGACTACTCTCCCCTCAGCGGGAGGTGATCAAAGAGCAGGCCAATCAGATTATGTCAGAGGCAGTCCCTCTTCCCATTACTATGTAACCCACTTGGACACTGAACTGCCATGGGCTACATCTGTGCAGGGGTTCTAGGTTATCTCCATGAGTACTCCTTGGTTGAAGTATGAGTCTCTGGGAAGTTCCTTGTGTTCAAATTTTCTGGTTCTGTTGCTCTCCTTGTGGGGTTCCCGTCCTCTCCAGCTCTTACTATTTCCCACTTCTTACATAAGATTCTATGCACTCTGCCCAACAGTTGGCCATCAGGCTCAGCATGTGTTTGATAGTCTGCAGGGCAGAGGCTTTCAGAGGCCCTTTGTGACAGGTTTCTAGGTTGTTTCCTGTTTTCTTCTTCTTCTGATGTCCATTCTCTTTGCCTTTCAGGATGGGGATAACAGCCATTTTTTCCTAAAATTATTAACATTAAACATCTTTGGGTTCATCATGGAAACACCAAAACTACAATACAACTATTTGATTGACTGTAAATCAAAATCAAGCACTCCTCCTCTAACTCTATTGCCTGTTTTGGATCACTTCCTCCTGGAAGACTGCCTTGCCAGGCCTCAAGGGATGAGGATATTCTCAGTATTGATGTACTGGGAGAGATGATATAGGGAAGCTCCCCTTTTTCTGTTGGGAAAGGGGGAGTGGGATGGGGAAGCAGAGAAAGGGAGAACTAGCAGGAGAGGGAGGAGAGGGAGGGAACACCCTTAGGATGTGAAGGAAAAAAATCTGAAATGTAAAAACAGCAATGTACATGAAATCAAAATAAAATAAATTATTAAAAATATATAAGGCAGAAGTCTAGGTCTGGCATTTCACAATATCAATACTTCTGTGTGCTTCTTAGTTACCAGTTCACAAAACTAACATTCCAGTAGCATTCAATAGTAAGAATGCACCACTTAGTTATGTGTCTGCAAATTAGCTATACTTCAACAGGTCAGAGTGAGACTGTTTGCACATGGCTCAAAGCTTATGCTGGACCCTGGATTCTCATTTTTTCTGTCTCATTGTCTTCTGTTATGTTAACTACCTTCCACTCAGGCAACATCTACTGACAATACTTTTGACAAAGCATGGCACTAGATGAGCCTACCAAGATTTAGCAATCAAAAACACCTTATTAAAAAAAAAAAAAAACAATATTAGTAAAATTGAGGAGTATTTACAAATAGGAAAGATGGCTTTTATAACTCAATTTTAAAAAGTATAATTCTTTATTATTTTATGGAAATGGAAAACAAATATTTCAATTGGCAATTTCATGGGTAAACTTCTACCTTCTGGAGGATCCCAGGGGACAACATTGCCACTTAATTCACATCTAAATGACCTTGAAATTTTCTATGTCATTTAATTTGCTGACTAGAATCCAGCCCCACATACTACTATAGATTTTAAGTTTCAGTTAAAAGTAACCCAATGGTGATTAGTAATCTGTCACAGGGAATCATGTTATATCCATAGACAGCAGTTGAGAGCAATGAAGTAGTGAATGCCTGCTAGTACTCAGGTGACCCTGTCTATTTACAGTTCAAGATCCTCTGCTCAGGATCTTGTTCTGCCCAAAAATAAGATGAGTTTTCCCAGTTCAGCTAACTAAAGACAATTCCTCACAGATAGGCTCAGAGACATTCTAAACCCCAGAAGTCTTTCACAGTTATCTCTAGTGGCGTGCTTCATCTGTGCCAGGTTGACAATTAATACTAATTCTAACACATTTTACTGTGCTTGTGTAAATAGAAAGACTGCTAAGTGTCACTTGAACTACATATTCCAGGTTATCAGTAAAGAATATCTGAGGAATAATTTCAAGATAACCATAAGCTTTTCTTTTAAACATAAATTATAAAAAACAAATCATTGCTTGCAGCTACATACCACAGTGGGTATCGATTTCAAAATAACTGGTGTGGTTCCTGTTTCCCCACAACACTGACAAGTCGATTATGCACAGGACCTCTTTCCTCTGTAGATCAGAAGCTGAGATCTCCTGAGTAAAGACACTGGCAGAGCAGGCTCCTTGACCCTGATCATGCTTCCCATGGACTCCTGGTCAGACTCTCCTCACAGTGTCCTGCTGCTGACTCTGCTACTGGGACTTACAGGTGAGCATGTCCCAGGAATAGCATCATCTTCCTGCTTCTGGGCGACCCCTGCCTTAGAAACTAAAGGACTCCAGTTGGCCACCTGAGCCGTCCCAGGAGAGAAGGTCAGAATATTGTATCAGGTCTTAGAGCCAGAGCTCTGATCATTGCTCTGCATTTCCATAAGTTTTAACAGTGGAATAGAAGCATTCTATGAGATGATGCTTAATAAATGTTAGTGTCTAATATTTAAGCTGAAGAAAATATTTTCAGCAGAATCCTAATTAAATCACTCTATCCCTTGAGTTATTCAGAGCCACCGAATAAATTCCAATTCAGCTAGTAGGACCACTTGGCTCTGAGCTCAGGAATCTCTGCTCACTTCCTGAGACATAGAAGCTGACATGCAGGCCAGTGGCATGACTCTGGGTGAAGTGTGTCCTGCAGTGCTCAGCCACCATTTCTTCTAAGTTAGGTTCCTTATTTTATCCTCTGACTTCTATTTGCTTTCTTATATGATCTCAGTCTTCTCATTTCGTGCTGCTTCTTTAAGAGGCTGTTGCTAGGGTTGCCATGAAGGCTGGAGACAAGAGTCAAGGTGTCCATTGAGCAGATTTCTTCCAAGATGCTTCTCCTTTAAATTGCAATGTCTCCTTCTGTCTTCACACATGTTCTCACCTCAGCCTATGTCTGTGGATTTTTTTCCATTTCCTGAAAGAAAAAGAGTCACATTGGACTAAGATCCTCCCAAATATCCCCAATTGACCTTAACTCTTTAAAGATTCTCTACCATTTACAGTCACATTATGGGTTTATGCTTTGATATGTAGAATATAAACAATTCATCCCTGGTTTTCATTTTTCTTTTCTATTATTATAATTTATTACAATTTATTCAATTTGTATCCTGGCTTTGGTCCAGTCCCTCATCTCTTCCCAATCCCTCCCTCCCTCCTTTATTCTCCCTATGCCCCTCCCATAGACCACTGATAGGAGAGGTCTTCTTCCATTTCCCTCTGACCCTAAGCAATAAGGTCTTCTCAGGACTGGTTGAATTGTCTTTCTCTGTGACCTGGCAAGACTGTACCCCTGTACCCCTCAGGAGAAAGTGATCAGAGAGCCTCTCACTGAGGTCATGCCAGGGAAACCCCTGCTCCCCTAATGGGGAGCATTCCTCTAATAAGGAATCCACTTGGAGACCGAGTTTATAGGTTACATCTGAGCTGGGGTTTTAGGTCCTTTGTGGGGGTTTCATTCTCTTCAGGCACCCCAGGGCTCAGATATTTTGGCTCTATATTTCTCCTTTTGGAGATCATGTCCCCTCTATGTCTTTCTATCCCTGCCTTATTTCACAAAATTCTATGCATTCTGCCCAAAGTTTGGCTAAGAGTCTCAGCCTCTGCTTTGATACCTCTATCAGTAGAATTTAAAATTTTTGTTTCAGTACTGAGAAGGTGTTTAGCAAAAAAAAAAATTATGCTTTGCGTCTCAAATACATTAAAAACTTACATGTTAAAAGCACAGGCTCTAAGAGCAACAATCAATAAATGGGACCTCATGAAACTGAACAGCTTCTGTAAAGCAAAGGGCACTGTCATCAAAACAAAGTGACTGCCTACAGATTGGGAAAGAATCTTCACCAACCCTTTATCTGACAGAGGATTCTTATCCAATATATATAAAGAACTAAACAAGCTGAAAACAGCAAACCAAGTAATCCACCTAAAAAATGGAAACAGAGCTAAAGAGAGAATTCTCTGTAGAGGAATATCAAATGGCAGAGAAGCACTTAAATGCTCAACCTCATTAGCGATTAGGGAAATGCAAATCAAAAGGACCCTGAGATTTCACCTTACACCCATCAGAATGGCCAAGATGAAAAGCTCAGGACAACACATGCTGGAGAGGTTGTGGAGAAAGGGGAACCCTTCTCTACTACTGGTGGGAATGTAAACTTGTACAATTACTCTGGAAATCAATTTGGCGCTTTCTCAGACAACTAGGAATAGCGCTTCCTCAAGATCCAGCCATACCACTCCTAGGTATATACCCAAAAGAGGCTCAAGTACACAAAAATGACATTTGCTCAACTATGTTTGTAGCAGCTTTATTTGTAATAGCCAGAAGCTGGAAACAACCAAGATGCCCCTCAACTGAAGAATGGATGCAGAAACTGTGGTACATCTATACAATGGAGTATTACTCAGCAATGAAAAATAAGGAAATCATGAAATTTGCAGGTAAATGGTGGGACCTGGAAAGGATCATCCTGAGTGAGTTGTCCCAGAGGCAAAAAGACACACACGGTATATAAGGTATATACTCACTCATATAAACATACAACATAGAATAAACCCACTAAAATCTGTACATCTAAAGAAACTAAGCAAAAGAGAGGACCCTAACTAAAAATTCTCAGTCCCCATCCTGAAAGGCAAAGAGGATGGACATCAGAAGGAAAAAGAAAACAGGAAACAACCTCGGAACCTGCTACAGAGGGCCTCTGAAAGCCACAAGAAGAAAACAGGAAACAACCTCGGAACCTGCCACAGAGGGCCTCTGAAAGCCTCTGCCCTGCAGATTATCAAAGCAGATGCTGAGCCTGATGGCCAACTGATGGGCAGAGTGAATGGAATTTTATGTAAGAAGTGGGAAATAGTAAGAGCTGGAGAGGACAGGAACTCCACAAGGAGAGCAACAGAACCAGAAAATTTGAACACAGGGAACTTCCCAGAGACTCATACTTCAACCAAGGACTATCCATGGAGATAACCTAGAACCCTGACAATGAAGCCACTTCTGATGAGAACTGAGAGAATAAGATCAGAAAGAAGGAGAGGAGGACCTCCCCTATCAGTAGACTTGGGGAGCGGCATGCATGCAGAAAGGGGGGAAGGGTGGGACCGGAAGGGGAGAAGGGAGGGGCTTATGGGGTTATAAAATAAATATATTGTAATCAATAAAAGTTAAAAAAATCTTTTCAACAGATATTGGTGCTACTTTAAAAGATTGATTAAGTAAATGATAAGGTCTAACGGGAGAAAGTCATGAGAAATGTCAAAGCCTAAACCACCCAAGCATTGTGGCACTTCAGCCCCTTCCCTGTGCTCTCTTGAGGAATGTCACTTTTACAATGTATGTTCTTGGATAATTGACTTCTTATAACTTTTTAAAATTCCTTTCCAGGAATTTAATCATTATGATGCACTTCAAGATTTTCAGTAGAATTACATTGTTCTTTAAAGGCACCGTGCTACCTTGTCATCTTCTGGTTTTCAGTGTTCTGCTTCAAGATTCACGCATCTGGTGATTTGTCATCTTTGCTACACCGGTGAAAAGCCTTTATGATAAATACCTTTTCTCTAGAAGGTTGTTTGTTTTGCAGTGTTAGTTTTGTTTCCAGTCTGTCACTGTGGTAAAGACCGTCTGTATATTTTAGCTGAAACTAAAACTCTGCCACAGTTCATTAGATGGTCATGTCAGAGCTCCGTGAGTGCACATAGGTGAGGATCACAGTGAGTATACACAGCAGAGGGGATAGGAAGCCCAATGTGTGGGCATCACAACAGTGAGAGTGGTGGCACTAGTAGAATGATATTTTTTTAGTATATAAAGGGTTAAACTCAGTAGTGGTAAAGTGCCTTTGGCATTGCAATCTCTGAGAGAGCATGGGGCCGAAGCTCCTGTCCATACATCAGCCAATGGCATGAGCCACCCTCGGTACAGACAGAAGCACGAAAAGAACCACTGTGTACCTACTGTATTCTTTGATCAGAGCATGGACATTTCAGCATGCCAAGATAGGGCCTAGAGACAAAGTGGAGACAGGTACTGCATGTCCACCAGTTCTCAGTCTTAGTATTAACCCATCCCACAGGGAGGGCCACACAGCATTTGACAAAAGTGATACAACAGCCTTGACTCTTAGTCTCATGCAACATGCTCTATTCTAATATATAGTGATACCCTGTTCTCCTGGGTTATGAGGCCCTGCACAGGCTTGAATATAGCTGTCGCTGGTGTTCTTCTGGGCAAGTCATACAGTGAGGCTACAACTCCTGTGCTAGTGTCCTGTGATTACTTCAGACTCAGGGATGAGGATACAAAAAACTGTCCTTCCACAACCAAACCACTATGAAGTCAGACACACTTCCCTGGTTCAGATAATATATAGGTATTGTATCTTGGGGTCTTGGGATGAAAGACAGAGGGGAGGATGGTGTGTCTTCCTAGCTGTGAAGTCTCTAGCTGGGATAAATAACCTGAAGCCAGTCATGACTGGATGTTCCCAGGACCTATGATTGCCCACATCCATGCAAACAGACTTAGCTGAGAATCTCAAATCCTCTCTGAACAGAAAATTTCACAGTTGTCAGTATACTTATTTCAGTTTTCTGTGCTCTCATCCCAGACAGGAAAGGTTCTAGTCACTCCCTTGATGCATTCTTTCTCTCTCCCATGGTGACTTCCCTCAAATTACAGCTGGATAAAACATTAGGGAGAGTACAGGAAATCTTATCGAAGATGTGGGAGAAGAAATGAAAGAGCTAGAGAGGTCAAGTACAGCACATAACAACTTACAAAGTGAACTATCCTGGACCCTTAGGAGCTTGCACAGACTGTACCAACAACCAGAGAAAAGTCATGGGACAGATCTAGGCCTCACATACATACCTAACAGATACACAGCTTGGTCCTCATGTGGGACCTCCAACAGCAGGAGTAAGGGCTGTCTCTGACTCTGTTGTCTTCCTATGAATGCCTTCCCCACTGAGATGTCTTGTCTAACCTCAATAGAAGAAGATGCATCCAATCCTCCTTGATATGCCTAGGCTGACTGATACCCATAGGAGGTTTCCCCTTATCTGAGAAGATAGGGAGGTGAGCAAATGCAGATGGGACATTAGAGGAGATGGAGAGGCTGGAAAGAGAAGAGTGAGATGGAGGTTCTACTGGGATGAAAAGTAAATAAATACATTAATTAATGAAAAAATTAAAAATACAGATGTTTACTGATTTAGTTCCCTGTGAGGGATGAGGTGAGTCATGGGCACATGCCATTGACATTCATATCTCCCCATATTTACCATTTTACCTTTGTAGAATGCAATGTATCAAACTACTTTATTATTAAGTTTCTTATTTTAATTTAAATTATTTCATGTTTTTCTTTTTCTATAGCCCTCTCTCACCTCCCCTTGCAATTCCATCCTCCCACCTACTTCTCCTCCCAGGACTCTACCCCAGTCCACTGATAGGGGAGTTCCTCTTCCCTGTCCCTGTGACCCTAGCCTATCAGGTCTCATCAGGAGTGCCTGCATTGTCTTCCTCTGTAGCCTAGGAAGGCTGCCCCCACCCTCCAGGGGGAGGTGATCAAAGAGCCAACCATTGAGTTCATGTCAAAGACAGCCCCTGTTCTCTTTACTAGGGAACCCACTTGAACACTGAGCTACCATGGGCTACATCTTGTAGGGGTTCTAGGTTATCTCCATAACGGTCCTTGGCTGGAATATCAGTCTCACAAAAGACCCAGTACCCACATATTTTGGTTCTGTTGCTTTCTTTATGGAGCTCCTTTCCCCTCCAAGCATTTCTATCTCCCACTTCTTTCACAAGGTATCATAAGGTTTCTGCCAAAGTTTGACTATGATTCTCAACATCTGCCTTGATACCCTGCTGGGTAGAGTCTTTCAGAGGCCTTTTGTGTTATGCTCCTCTTCTGTTTCCTGTTTTCTCTCTCTTCTGATGTCTCTCCAGTTTGCCTTTCTGAATGAGGATTGAGCATCTTACCCAGGGTCCTCCTTATTGCTTAGCTTATTCAGATTTTAGTATGTTTGCTCTATATCTTATGTTAAATATCTAGTTATAAGTGAATATATACCAAACAAAATTAGGGATTCAATCAAAATTCTGCCAAGTTCCCTGTCTTTCTGTGACTCAGTTTTCTCATCTGTGTTACATGCTTGTATTAACCATAACGTTGGCAGAGTGCAGGGAATATAAGAAAGAAGAGAGAGTTATTATGACCTGGAGAGGACAGGAAATCCACAAGGACCAAATATATCTGGGCACAGGGGTCTTTTATGAGAATGTTTCTCCAACCAAGGTCCATGTATGGGTATAATCTAGAACCTCTGCTCAGATGTCATCCATGGTAGGTCAGTATCTAAGTGAGTGCCCTAATATAGGGAAAAGGGACTGTTTCTGACATGAACTCAATGGCAGGCTCTTTGACCTCCCTCCCACCCCAAGGGAGCAGCAGCTCTCCTAGACCACAGAGGAGGACTTTGCAGCCAGTCCTAAAGAGACCTGATAAACGAGGGCCAGATGAAAGGGGAGGAGGTCCTCCCCTATCAGTGGACTTGGAAGGGGGAAGGGAGGAGATGAGGGAGGAAGGGTGGGAGTGGGAGGGAATCAGGAAGCAGGATACAGCAGGGATACAAAGTTAATGAACTGTAACTAATATTAAAAAATAACAAAACAAAACAACAACAACAACAATAAAAAGAGTCACAAGATAGGGAAACTGTGATCAAATGCATGCTGAGCATTTGTGAGAACAGTATTTGATCACAAACCTGTGGGTTCCCATCAAGATGAGCATTAACTGATGTTTTCTGCAGGAGCAGCTATGCGGGAGCTGAAGGTGATTCAGCCTGAGAAATCAGTTTCTGTCCTTGCTGGAGAGTCAGCCACTCTGAACTGCACTGTGACCTCCCTGATCCCTGTAGGGCCCATGAAGTGGTTTAGGGGTACAGGACAAAGTCGGTGCCTTATATATAGTTACACAGGAGAGCGGTTCCCCAGAGTCACAAATGTTTCAGATGCAACAAAGAGAAACAACTTGGACTATTCCATCCGCATCAGTAATGTCACCCCTGCTGATGCTGGCACCTACTACTGTGTGAAGTTCCAGAAGGACACATCAGAGCTTGGGAAAGAGATTCAGTCTGGGGGAGGCACCACATTGTATGTGCTTGGTAAGTACTACATTGTCCTCCTCATCCCTGATTTCTCCAACAAGTAAAAACAGTGTCCAAAATTCTGTGAACAAGTAAGAAACAAGTTTGGAGATAAGCCCTCATGTTCATAGAATGACTTTCCCCAACTGTGGTCCAAGGAACCTGAAGAGATGAGGTGACATGCTATTTGCTAGAGGTTCCCCTTCTGATAAATCCATGCCCTTGTCTTCCTGCCCCACAGAGCTTACCTTTCCCAATATGCCCTAGCCTAGTGGCTGATAAAGACCCTGACAGCTGACTTCCTGGTCCAGTGATGGGGTCACATCTGTCCTAATGCCTCCAGAGTGTCCTTATTCACCTGATGAAGTCTTCTCTTTCTTCCCAAACAACCTGGGGCCTAGTTATGCCAGGTTGTACTCTAGATGTCAACACAGATGGCAGAAAGCTGTCAAGCAGGAGCTCTTTACACAAAATGTGTGTCTCCACCCTCCCAAGAGAAAAAGCACATCATTGCAGAAGATGATGCTAATGAAGGGTGTGATTTCTTCATTTCCTGTCCAGTTACAGCACACTGAGAACATTCTGGGTATGTCTACATTCTCTGTGGAATCTCTTAGCCCTGGTTTAAGTGTTGGCACCAGGCTACCCTTGGTACTGTCAGAAAACATGTTGTGTCAGGGACCAACTCTCTTAGGCACTAAAGGTCTGGGCCAGTGTTAGCTTGCCTCCTAGAGGTCATTCCATGAGGATTGTCTGTGCCCAGCTGAGGTAGCCAGGTGCTCACTTTGAATTTCCTGACAGAAGACTAACTTCTAACTTGGTCTTGATTTTGAGAATTTTTCAACATGAAGGTCACTCACAGTATAAATCCCAATCTTGTTAGTGATGTGAGCCCTGTATGCCTGTGTCCTGTCCATGATCACAGAGCCAGTTAGTGCTGAGATGTGGTCTGTAATCTACATCTCATTCCAGGCCTACTTCTGATTGTCCAAGCAAGAGACACCATGTTCACTTAGAATCCTGATGAATAAGAGACATTGAATCAGAATTTCTTGAACTCAGCCAACCTATTCCAGCTCCAAGGTTTTGAGATTTTTCTCACTCTCAGATTCTGTATAAAGCAGCGGTCAGAAATCTTCACAAGCGTCAACCATACTCTTACCCCAGATTCTAGGTTAGAATTCTTCCCCTGTGGAAATAAAGCATAATAGTCCAACAACCAGAGATACCACATTTCAGATGTCAGGCCATGAATGTTTCATTTGTTTCAATTTTTGGCTAAACAAATAGTGCCACAGTGGATCAACTCTTATGGTTTTCATCTTGGCCATAAGGCACATGTTCTCTAGAGAATGCCTATTGCTTTTGAGGGTGAATTAGATTATAAGGATGTTACTATTTTCCCACAAAGATGTGATGTAGCCAGTCTCCTCACAACCCCTCAACAGAGAGAAACAGGGAGAGTGGCTTCATCCTGAATCCATCCATATCATAAACAAGGACACTGAAGTTCTAGGTAATGCAATGTTTAGGCAACCAGAAAGTGACCCAAGTATGATAAAACCCATAAGTTTTCAGTAATGCTAGCTTTATTTTCCATATCATTTGTCCTAAGGATACCATTAATGAAGGTTGTACTTTTAAGAAGGGGCATGAAATAATGCTGTGCTATGTGCCATCTCTCTGCTATGCTATTTTCTGCTAAGCATGTGTTATATGGGAGAAGTCACCTTTTCCTTTTTGAGAAGAGAAACCTGAAGTTCATAGAGGTTACCTGACTTGTACACAGATGAGGCAGAGGCAGGGGTTGACTACAGCACAATGCCTCACAGACTGACACAGCATATGTGCTATTCTTCCTACATAGTTTTTTCTCTCAGCAGCAGACACTGAGTAGAGCTGCCTCCTGCATCCATACAGGGTCTATAGGAGCCTGGGGCCTCTTCTGTCTGGAGCTATCTGGAGCAGGCATCTGACACAGAATTCCTCAAGTCAGATTCTTAGGGAAGAAGTAGAGTGGCAGGGCTCCAGTGTGGGGACAGTTGGTTTCTTGTGGGAAAAGAAAGTGAGGGCACAGGAACTGGCCTCTGAGAAGCAGCTGGGAAGAGCAGACAGGGTGTCTGTTTTCAGCATCAGTGTCTGCATCTGTGTCATGATGATGGTCATAGTTCCTTCAGGGGACAAACCTGAGCCCTCTGATTATCACCTACAGCTGTATGCAGAAAAACCAGTGGCATATCATGGTTTTAAACCTTGGATAACTCATTGAACCTGACCCTTAGTTTCTTCTTCTGTAGAAGGAGGCTTCTGTGCCTACTTTTCCAGAGTGCTATGATTACCCTGAGAACATCAGGAACCACGGAAGGGCACAATCTAACTCTTTATGGAGTCCTCAGTTTTCTATTTTGTGATGATGACAGCCTTGGTCCCTCATAGGTGATTCTTGATGTAGGAGAAACCATGCACATATTCTTGGCTGGTGATGTCAGGGTCATCAGGAACATCAGAATTTCAGTGGTTTGCAGAAGAGAGGAAATAATTTAAATGCCTGAACATGCATCCCAGCACAGCTACTCTATGAAAAGTACCCAGAACAAGACCTTTTGCATGGGCCTCATGATACAGTCTTCCTGCTAGCACAGTGTGTAAACTGGCCATACTGAAGGAATGAAGTCATATAACATACTTGAGAAACTGCTGACTTCTAGAAAGTATTTCAACAATGTGAGCTGTGTTTCTATGGGGCCATGTGACCTTGGATTTTCACTTTTCCTCTAGGCTTTAGGAGTCAATCAAGTTAATGTGAGGTAGGTGTCTTTTTACCTGGCTATTTTTGGAATTCCATGGAAAACAAAAGTAAATCCTAGATCTACATTTCTTTAATTGTTCACATACTACTATTGGCTTCTGAAATATCAAATACAAGCTTTGAGGCAACAGTACATATGTAATCATTCCCTTGATGGAGCTGTTAGGACACGAAATTGAGGCATTACAAACCCTCATGCTGCAGAATAGCAGGGACCAGACTGCTGTGCTCAACTCTCTAAAGCCAAAGGAATGTACCAGGGATGCTTCTCATGGGGAAGACTGAGGTTTTAACCAAGGTTTAAACAAAGGTTTTACTAAGGCAGAACTTTGTTCAACTGTAATCTCAGGGCAAATCTTTTCTATATGGCATAGGTCTGCATTAAAACTATTTCTGGGGACAGAAATTTCTCTTTTTCACTTAGAACTCTGTGCTGCTCCTTTCTCATGGTCATCTGCTCTGTATATTTAGCCCCTCTGGAGGAAATGCCTGGGAATCCATTGTCCTGTAAAAGCCACTGGCCAACATAGTGGCCACTAAGAAAGCAGAGCATGTCAGGGTATAGAAGACTCTGCTCCTTAGGTGGGATTTTCATGCTAGTGGTGGCAACAACCCAGAGACACACCATACTGTCTTTGTATACCTTTTCCTGAACCAAAATGGTGAAACAAAATAAGTGATTCTAAAACTTGTAACAACGGCAGTGATAAATAGGATTTGATAAATGGGATTCTAGCATCATTTTCATCTTTCTAGGGTGAGGTTTTGATCCAGTATTTATGGAAGGGTAGCAGGAAAAGTATCAGCTCAAGTACCAGTCTAAGTTCTCATCACAAAGGACCCAGGGAAGAGAGTAAGACATAAAGTCAGGGAATAAAGGTTGAAAAGAAGGGGAATGGAACAAAGGAAAGAAGAGGAAGGGTATTTGCCCTAAAGAACAAAGGACCGCCTCATATAGAGAGGAGAAAGAAATGGCTCAGTGGTAAATGGCAGTATATAAAGGTCAAATGGGAAAGCCTGTGCTAGGATGAGGTGTTCAGTTTTAATTGGGCATGTTAATTAGGTGAGCTAAAGGGGGTTTTTGAGTGATGGACTTCAATACTTGGACCGTGGGAGTCAGCTTCAGCAGGATAAAGTGCCTAGGTTTGGGAATGTAAGCAAGGCAAAGTGAGTGGGGGAGAAGGGCAAGGCCTGCCAGAGCCACACTTGTCATGCTCAAGCTGGTCAAAGTCCTACAACGGGGACATTGATGTACATTAGAGAAAGATCAGGATTTAAATTAATCAGTTGTTGCATGTTAGATAAACTTTGCATTTTAGACTGTGTAACTTCTCCACCTTCATGCACTCTGATCTTAATCCTATCAAAGCTTCAGTCACTGGAATCTATACAGTGAAAGACTGCCTGGAAATTCCTAATAAATGGCAGCTTGTTCTGGCCCCCTCAAACCTGTAGGGACATCGGGTTTGTTAGAGGTTAGGTAGCTTGACTACACATAACACGTGTTTACATTCCTGGTAGGTTGGCCAATTGAGAAGGAATTACACATGTACTGTGTAGTATTTCTCATACTTTGCTCATAAGACAGGTGAATTATGGGAAACTCAACAGGAGACATCTACAGGGCAAACTGCATTCATCTCGACAGTCCATACATATGCATGCATGACGGACCAGAGAGTATTTTTTTCTGCTCAGGAGGCTTGCTTCTATGTCCCTTTAGGTTAACAGTTAGGAAATGAACCACCTCTGGCTTTATCCACAGAAGGGTAATCTGTTTGACATCAGACTAAGTCCAGTTGAAGCCCACATATGGAGATGCAGACTCTTGGGCTCTCAGTTTGAAATTCAGGACTTGGCACAGCTTAGACATTATAGCATATAGGTACAAAGAAAGAAAGAAAATAGAATCAGGAAGGGTACTAGGTTTGTGCCACTTCTGGGATGTATTTTATTTTCTCAGTTATATTAGATGTCAATCTAGAAATATTTACTGTAGGTTGTCTAGGTTTCATGAGCAGGCCAGCAGCAATACATGACATAAAATATAAAATACTTTCACAATTGTCATTTTTGACAAGGCCTAGAATTTTAACTGCACTGGCTCTTCCTTATTTTCTCCTGGACATCTGTGCTAAACTGTTCAGGCACAGATCAATGGAGGACCAGGAGAAAACAACAAGAACAAGAACAACAACATTGAGGAGGATGAGCTCTTACTGTCTGTTGCTATGACACAGTATGATGACATGGGGGAACAGCAGGTCCTTAGTATGGCTGAAGCTCTGCTATTGATCCCAAGCACCAAGCAAACCATGATGATGGTGATATTATCTAGGAACGTTCTTCACAATGTTATGTCCTCAATGGCGGCCATCACAGTCTCATCCTTGTCTCCATGCTCCTTTACAGCAAGGCCGTCCCCTCCTGTGGTCTCAGGACCTGCAGCCCGAGCTCTACCTCAGCAGACAGTGACCTTCACATGCAAGTCTTATGGATTCTCCCCTCCGAATATCACACTGAAGTGGTTCAAAAGTGGAAATAAGCTCTCTCCCTTCGAAACTACTGTGGACCCCAAAGGAGAAGGCATCTTCTACAATGTCTCCAGCATAGTCCAGTTAGTGCTGGGACCCAGAGATATTCATTCTCAGATCATCTGTGAGGTGGCCCATGTCACCTTGCAAGGAAGCCATCTCTGTGGGACTGTCAGCTTGTCTGACATCATCCGAGGTAGGTGTCCTTAAATCACAGCTCAAGCTCTTATCTGATTAGAATGGTTTGTCCACAGTTGTCAGCAAGTATTCATCTGTACCACACAGGAGAGATAAAAGACTATGATCAGCACAGGAAGGAAATTGTATTTATTTTAAAATAAGAAATGAAAGCTGTATTAATTATGAGCCCCACTGCTCATGCACAGCATTTTCAGGCATTTATTTCTGTCCTAGTGTACGCTGGAGTTTTTCTTATTAATTTCACTTACTAGGATCCACACTCATCACTGCCTAAGCTCCTGGTTTAGCGCTATGCTTAGTGTTGCCTCTACTCTGGAACAAGCACTCCTATCCCATGATGCATTTGTAATGGGTGTGGGTCCTCAGTACTCCAGACTCTTCCCTGTGCCTCAGTTCAATCTGCCTAGGCTTCTGATTGTGCTTTTTCAGTTCCACCCACCCTGGAGGTCACCCAGCATCCAACAGTGTTATTGAATCTGATAAATATCACCTGTCAAGTGAAGAACTTCTATCCTTTGAACCTTCAGTTGACCTGGATAAAGAACAGAAATATGTATCAGACAGATGTGGCTTCTACACTCACAGTAAACAAGGATGGAACCTACACAAGGACCAGCTGGCTCTTGGTGAACATATCTGCCCATGAAGAGGACATGGTACTCACATGCCAGGTTGAGCATGATGGACAGCCAGCAGTCATGAAATCCCATACTGTGGTGGTCAGTGCACATCAGAGGGAGCAAGGTACTGGCATCATGTCTGGTGAGGTCTCCACTCCACCTCCTTGGCTGTGTGAAATATGGCCAAGTAGAACAAAGTTCTGATGAGAAACATCACAAGATTATGTACCATTGTGTCCCCCTAAAAGTCTGTTCTTAGCTCCAGTACCAGAGCTTGTGATCTTGAAGGCATTTAGGCCTGTGTTAGTTGCTTCTGCATAGCTGCACACAAAACAACTTAGGTCAGGAACAACTATATTTCCCAACAATGATCTTAAAAGGACTGTATTTTGAGTTTTTCAAAACAATTTTTATAGGCTTTTGTGTGTACCAAAATTAAGTTTTATTTCATTTTTAAATCCCCATCAGCTTTTCTTGATAAAGTTTTTGGACATCAAGAAATCTACCCCAATATGTTAAAATGATGAATTTAATTTTCTTTAATGTTTATAAAAACACATTAGTCATCTGATATTGGACTTATAGTTGAAAGTGTTTTGTTATAGAGAATTTTATCCTTTACATCTGAGTTTTCAAACTTCAGCTATAAAAATTCTCAGAGGATTTTATTGTCATTTTTAGTCTGCGGTCTATGATGATATTCTTGTCTCAGTGTTGATATGGATAACTTGTTATTTCTCTTATATTCCATCAGTCACTAGAGAGATATTGTACACAAATGGTGGGAAACAGAGTTCAGAGAAACCATAGCACAGCCTCTAAAAAAGGATAGGGAAAAAAGAAAAATAAAAATTGTTTTTTCATGGCCAGACCTCAGATATAACTGAACTTAACTGAAGCTCAGCTAGCAGGAACAAAGCTTGGGACAAAATTCTGGGAAGAAGAAGGACAGTATCTCATTAAGGGAATAATTATTCCACCTATTTATTTGGCATGACTTAGAGTTAAATTGCCTTCCTAGGACTTAAGATAGAGATTTTATTCTCTTGATGTGAAGTGTTAGTGCATGGGCATTTATTGCTATTCTAAAGATATCATTGTTTTCATTCTTTTGCTCCTGGTTTATTTTGGTCTTTGTTGGTTCCCTTGAAAACGTAGGCAATCAATTTCAATGCTTGATGCAAAAATAATTACTTTTCTGTGTATAACTAATGTCTGCTGGTTTAAGGTAAACAGTTATACTCCAGGCCCTCTGACCTTTCATGTTGGGATCTTCAATTCCATCCAGTCTATTAATTAAGTTTTAAATTCTTCAATTTGAGAGTACTCTTCAGACCATTCTTTCATATTAGAATTCCAAGGAAGTACTCTCTAAAGTGGATGAAGAAAGGCAGGCCATTTTGCAGTACTGCAGATACCAGCACAGGTGTGAAAGAGCTGGTTTAGCCCAGGAAGACATGTGGTTTCAGTGTAGGTCCAATAAAAGACATCATAGGCACTCAGAGAACTGGAGGATAGGATGGTCATTAATAATTCTTTTAAACTGAAGAGATGGGAGGAGATAACAGAATTCTTATCTCAAATCATCTGAATAAAGTTGGGTGTCTGCTTATTCCTAAGGACCCTTCAAGAGCATTTTATTCTTTTTTATCATAAGGCTCCCTTCATTACCAAGAATCTAGAATTTTTTAGGGTAAATTTTCTCTAAAGAAGGAAGAGTGTCCATTCTCTTACTCACAATTTTTCTGTTTTATGTGTATTTACTGTTCACAGCTATTGCTGAGCTATTGAGAGACTGATCCTTTCTGTGAAGAACACTGTCTCAGGGATCATCCTAAACTGCAGTAGTGAGGAGCATCTCTTGATCCCACTAATCTTGTGACCCCTCCGTAGTGTATAGTTATCCCTGCAAATTGGGAATAATAATCCCTGACAAATATGATTCTGAAAACCAAGGTTTATTTATTTATTTATTTATTTATTTATTTATTTATTTATTTACTTACTTACTTACTTACTTACTTACTGTATATGTGAATGCTCTATCTGCAACCTGCATGCCCAAAGAGGACACCAGATCTCACTATGGATTATTGTGACCCACAATATGGTTGCTGGGAATTGAACTCAGGACCTCTCATAGAATAGTCAGTTCCATGAGACACTGACCACAATTTCTTACACACTTTTCCTTAGAAGGACATGTTGGAGACATGAGCAGTGGCCAATGGAGAAATAGAAACCTCATTACCATTTCTTTTGCTTTAAAATTATTCTTTGAACTGGTAGAGAAAACACAGTCAAAATCCTCAGAGCTTTGATGTGCTTAGCGGTCCACAGATGAGCCAAGAAAAGACCAGTGATGATGAGCTCCATGTGACCTTTCTAATGGTTCCTTCTACTTCTTGATTTCAGAATTGAAGACATCAGATTCTGCTAAAGTCTTTGTAGCTGTGCTCTTTGGACCCAAACTGCTGCTGGTAATTGTGGTCTTTGCTGTGTACGGGTACAAGAAGCAGAAGGCCTGACTGTAAGTTAGAAGGGATGCAGGTGTATTCATTAATTTTCTGTTTCTGTGATAAAATTCAATGACTACAACAACTTATAGAAGAAAAGGGTTTATTTGACCATTATCTCTTCCAGAGGCAAATGAGTCCATCATGCTAGGGAGGAGTGGCAGCCAGGACAGATGTTATGTGCTCACATTCTTAGAAAAAAGCATGAAGCAGATTGAACAAACTGGAAGTAGCAAAAAGCTTTTAATCCTGGGGCTCACTTTCTATGGCATAATTCCTTTAGTTAGGCTATACCACCTAAATATGGGCAATGGTTCTTCTTCAAATCACCAGATAGATATCCATGTATCGATGAACATAGAAATGGCAGGATCAGTAGGAGGGTCATGTCATTCATCTGTGACAATGGCTTGTTTCTGAAGCCCATCAAGAATCTTGTGGAACCTTTTAATATATCCATACCTCACAGGAAGTGTCTATATACTGCAGAATGGCTCCTCAGTCAAGGATCAAAAAGAGGTACCCAAAGAGACTAAGAGGATGTGAGGGAAATGGGCTCTGACTAGCATGTGGTGTACTGCCTTCAGTATTCTTACAGGTTACTACAGTAAGTGGAAGACAAGGAGTTCATGGGAAACATCAGTCTACACTTATGGGATAGAATTTAGACATTTCAGATGTCTGTAATAATGACTGTTTCTGCTCTGGCCTCCTTTTGACCATGAAGAACAGACTCAGATGACTGTATGATTCAGGACCTAGGCTGAGATGACATTTTTATGACATGGGCATCTCATCCACTCAGGACAGAAATGCTAGGGGGAGAAATGTACCGTGGACACTGGAGCACTAAGATAATATGTAAGTGATGAATGGAATATTGAGTGAGAGGATTCTCCTCAGCTCTTCCCTTCATCTTCTAAATCACTGGAACCCTGACTATCTGCATAGAGGCTCAATCTAGGAGAAGCTGGTGAGAAACCATGGAAGACTGTTCCTAATGACTCCCTGACAAGAACAACCCCAACACAGAATTTCTTTTTGTCCCTCTGTATCTGCATTGTTATCCCAAGGCTTTGATGCTGTGTGCATATTGGATTCTATTCTTGGAGTATTAATTGTCATTATTAAAATAATTTTTAAATGGACTTAAAGTTCAAGGATAATCTATCCTGGTGCAAAGAAAAATTCTCAGTACAGGCAAAGTGTAAATCTCAGCAACCTCATGGAAAAGAAGGACCTTGGAGGATAAAAGGGGAAAGCAGTCATGCTGTTTCAGAAAGCATGGATGTCAGACATCAGAAGGGAAGGCTTACCCAGCTGAACCTCAACATAGCTTGTACAGACCATGCTGGGGTGGGAGAATTCTAGGAAAGTTGTGGTAGTGTATCAAGGAATAGGAAAAATTATTTTGACTTCTTTTGTTAATGAGACAAGATCTCACTATGTAGCCTTGACTCTTCTGGCACACTCTACTTAGACCAGACTTGCCTTGAACTCATTGAGATTGGCTTGCCTCTTGCCTCTTGCATGCTAGGATTGATTGTGGGCTGCACCATTACATGTATATAGGAGAAATTATTCCATTTATCCCTTTACTGTAGTGTAAGAGTGTCCTTTGCCTGATGCACCAATGGAGGACCATGAATGGAGAGTACCTAGACTCCCTACTGGCTGATTGGCAGCTCAGTCTCCATGTGGATCTCTGAATGAGGGGATCAGGGGATGACTCTATCATGAACTCAGTTGACTGCTCTCTGATCACTGGCGCCTCTCATGATGCAGCTTTGCCAGGCCACAGAAGAAGAGGATTCAGGCAGTCCTGAAGAAATATGATAATCTGTGGGATGATGGCAATGGTGGAGGCCTCCTCCTTTCAGTGGACTAGGGGAAGGGGAAGGGAGGAAGAGGGAGGAAGGGTGGGACTAGGTGAATTGAGGGAGGGGGCTTCAGTCAGGATATATAATGAATAAATTGTGAAGAAAAAATAAAAATAAAGATTATAAAAATGTGTGTCCTTTGCCTGAGTGATTGACCCTGAGGTCCTCACCAAGGTCACAGTTTTTGTCATCTTAATCATCAACTTTTCTTTAATGGGCTTTTATTGATACTCTAACACCACTCTGAAAGGGTAACCCTAAAATCATTTTGGAAACAAAATCATGGATCACAGCCTCCAAACACTTTCGGGTCTCTGGCCTTTAGCAAGAACAAGGCTGCAAACAAGCCAGAGGACAATTTTGGCTTCTACGGAAAGATAAAAACTCTTTGAGGTCTGTTTACACTAAATCCTATTCAGTTTCTACCTCTTATTCTTTTTTTCTTCCATACAGGTTCCACGGTGCAGCATTGTCTGTACCAGGACTCACTGTATATACCAGGTTGGCCTCAAATTTACAGAGATCCACTTGCCTCTGATTCTCCAGTGCTGAGATTAAAGCTGTGCACCACCATGCCAGGCTCTACTTCTTATTCTTTTCACAGATATTTATAAAATGTGTGAAAAACAATGTGAGCCCCTATTCTCCATATGAAATTCCTATTTTGAATGCATTTGCCTATTTTTAATCTATTCTCTTGGAGTTGTCCATCACTGCTCACTTTAGTTCATGTTCTCTGGTGATATTCTGGCTCATAAACTACCAACCTATTGATGTTCTCTGTTGAGCTATGCCTAATTTAGGAATAAAAATTATTCTCATTTCTATTTTTCTCAAAGTTCCTCCACAAAAATAAATAAGGAAATACTCTTTAATTATTGAGATGAGAACATAGCCTTTTCTGCCTTCTTTATTGTTGTCAACCCTAATGCTCATGGTGTAAATGTTGTGTGAGTTCAGTGAATATGGCCATTTTGCTTTCTCTTCTTCCTGGATCTTGATCTCTCTCTGTTTCTCATGCAGATATAAAGAAGACTTTAAAATGTGTATCACCACACTTGAGAGGGTAAATATACAAAATTTGGTTCTGAAAAGAGGAGAAAGTACTGATCTGTAGTGCTTTTGACATTCCATCATGTAAACACTATTCTCAAGGTCAGTGTCAATTAGCCAACCTTTAAAACTCCAACTGCTCTGCCATGACAATTTATCACAGAGTGATCCAACCAGTGCCTACATATCACTGCACTGTATGTATGGTCTGAGCATGGCTTAACTCCCCTGCCTTTCTGCACTTGCCACAGCATCTCCCAAGAACTCTCTCTACAGCTTCTACTTGCTCCTATTTTAGCTACCAGAATGTGTTGAGAAACTAAGTTAAATAGATTGACCTCTCTGTTTCTTCCAAACACATCGTTCTTAAAAATTATTTACTTTACATCCTGGTTGTATGTCATCCCTCTTTCTTCAGAGCCTTGAAGATTTTACATACCCACAAATCATATAAAGTATTTTGGTATAACTCTGACACAACAAGTTAAAGACCTGTATGATGACAAGAACTTCAAGTTTTTAAGGAAAGAAATTGAAGAAGATATCAGAAGATGGAAAGATATCCCATGCTCATAGATTGGTAAAATTTTCATACTGAAAATGGCCATTTTAACCTAAGGCAATCTACAGATTCAATGGATTTCCCATCAAAATGTAAGCACAGTGCTTTATAGACCTTGAAAAGACAATTCTCAGCTTCACATGGCAAAATGAAAAACCACGAATAATTAAAACAGTCCTATACAATAAAAGAATTTGTTGTTCAAGTACAACAAAGCAATTGTGATTAAAATAATCACATGATATTAGCATAAAATCAAACAGTTCAATGGAATTGAATTGAAGAACCAGAAATAATCCCACACACTAATGGACACATTGTTGGTATAATGTTCTTTTAAAATGTATATGCCTTACCCTTGTTAATTCAAATGCTGATTTCCCCACCCCCAACTCTCTGGTTTCAATCTGGATATTGCACTGTGATACTCACTATAAGCATCCTGTCTCAACTCTTGTGTAAACAGGACACAAATAAAGCAACTAGATACAATGTTGTGCAATGGGAGGAGCAAGAGGACAGGAATGAGGGGAGGAGCTAGAGAACAGGAAGGGGCAAGAAGGAGGAGCTCGAGGAGAGGAGAGCACGAGGATTGCAGAGCATGAGGAGAGAGCTTGGAGGACTTAAAGCATGTACCAGACCTAAGATTTCACAAAAAGCAAGTAAAATGTGGGAAATCTAAATGTTAGGAAACTGAGGGCTTGGAGGTTTAGGAGGGAGTAAATATTGCCCAGCATTGTGTTCTAGGTTAACTAAAAATCCAGTCTCTGTGTGGTGATTTGGTTATACAGCCGCTGAGGATTAACAGCAGCGATACCAGAAGTTAAAACAATAGTAAAGTTTAGATACCGCCTACAACAACACATTCTTTTTTTGACAAAGAAACCAAAACCATACAATGAAAAAAAAAAAAAATAAAGCATCTTTATCAAATCTACCTAGATGGCTGCATGTAGAAGAATGGAAATGGACCCAAATTTATACCACCTTGCGCAAAACTCAAGTTCAAGTGGATCAAAGATCTCAACATAAAACTGGACATACTAAATTTATTAGAAGAGAAAGTGAAGATTAGCCTTAAGTGTACTGGCACATGGAAAACTTCCTGAAAAGAACAGAGCTTTGAGTTGTTGTGCCCCTACAACTACCCCATCTATGAACTGATGGAGCCAGATGAAGGGGCCAGTCTTGCAAAAACAAAGGTGCCGGATCTTCCTTGACACAAGGCAACAAGATATCCTATAGGAGCCTTGGTGAGGATCAAGTGTTGATAGGGTAGCAGAAGCCAGAGGCCTCAATCAGGCCAATGACTCATTGCAGTTAACATTTGCAAGAAAAGACGTTGAGCAAACGGGTGTACTAAGTGATACATCTTGAAGTCTTCAAGCTTCCTCTACAAGATGTATTTTTTATTAATAAATAATTAATTACTTTTATCTTGAGGGAGATTGCAAGGTCAAAGGGCATATATGGCAGGATGGGGAGAACAGGGAACTGGAGTGCATGATGTAAAATTC